GCCCGGTCTTGAGGCCAGGGCGGTATTTATCCGAGGGGGAAGGAAGGGGGGGGGGGGGGATGGGGACAAGGTGACGTGGATGACGGACCCCCCCAGGGTCCCCAACCTGCCCCAGGGACCTCCAGCCCAGTGCAGCCCATGGAGCAGCCCCAAGCTCTGCCCCAGGGACGCGGAAAAAGGGGGGGACACGGTGCAGGAGGCTCCGAGGTACCTGTCTTTCCCTGTCTCCCCCCGAAACAGGTCATCAAACTGCTTCATGCGGCCGGGGGAGACAACGTAGGCCGTCATGTTGGGGAAGGAGGCGCTGACGCGTTGGATGATTTTCAGGAGGCTCTTCTGCATCTTGGCGGGTGGCCCCCAGAAGATGAAGATGGTCTCCGGGGTCTTGTTAACGAACTCCTGGGGCCGCTTGAGGACGCGGTAGAGGCTGGAGTGGGCCACCACGCGGAAGCTGGTCTTGTTGCCCACGTCAACCTCGTAGCCGGTGGTGGGAGCGTCGTTCATGCGGATAGTGCACTCAGCCCCGTCGATGGCCGTGCCCAGGCGGGTGCCCAGGAGGTGGCTGGAGCTGGTGACGATGACACACTGGTGGCAGCGGGCAGTCAGGGTCTGGGGACCACAAGTGCCGTGAGCAGGTGACTTTTGGTGTCACTGTGACCCAGCATGGAGGGACGGAGCTGGAACAGGGGACAAGGCACCGCTGTCCCCTGCAGAGCCACTGTCCCACTGGATGGGATGACTTGGCTGGACACCGACGGAGGGCTGGATCCTGCGCCCACCGCTAACGCCAGACCCCGCCACCCAGCTCGTACCTTGTTCCCGCAGACGGGCAGGTACCCGCTTTTCACCCCCCACTTCTTGAGGTCGGGGGGCCGGCGGGCTCTGCCCCGCAGGCGGCTGTAGGGGAAGACCTCGCTCCCGCTGCCGGAGCTGTAGATGATCAGCAACATGATCAGGGCAAAGAGGACCCCCAGGGCGGCGGCACGCTGGCTCTGCGGGCGGGGGGAGAGCGTCAGCCGCTGCCCCCACCCCACGGGCGTCAGCATCTGGCCCCGCTCCCGGCGGCATCCCCAGCGGGATGCCCGGTGTCCCCAGGGTGACTCCCCGGCACTCACCGTGCTGCCACTCATGTCTTTGTGCCGGCCTCAGTGCACAGCGATCGCCGGCGTCCCACGAGCACCTGCAAGGCACACGGTCACCCCCAGTGCCGGCCCCTCGCCACCGCGCTTGGGCTCCCGTCCCCAGACTGCCGGGCCGGCGGGGACGCGGGATGAGCTGCTGGGCAGCCTGGCCTGGCTGTGCCGGAGCAGAGCCCCATGGGGCGGGTGCCCAGCCAGACCCCCAGGTCCCCCTTTCAAGGGGAGGACAAACCCTCAGCACTGGTGCGGGGAAGGGAAACGCCGTGGGCAGAGGCTGGGCGAGCTCTGCAGCGCCAAGGAGCCAAACCCGACCGCAGCTCGTGCCGGGGAGATCCCCGCGGCGGGCTGCGCTCCCGGGAAGGATTATCCCCGGCCAGCGGGGCCAAAGCCGCTCAAACCCGCAGGGTCAGGGAGGGTAAACCTGCTGCTCGCGTGGTGAAATCCCATTAAAACAACCGGCTCCAGCTGGGGGGAGAGGAACTGAGACCTGCACAACTCAGCTCACGCATGGGCTCAGATCCAGCCGGAGCTGGCAGGGACCTCCCCGGCCCTGGGGCCCGAGGTGCACAGGGTGCACCCTGGGTGCTCACCCCCGGGGGGACCTGCTCTAACCCCCACTCGCAGCAATGGACTGACCCAATTTATTTTTTGAAGTCCTCATTAGTGAGTCACGGCTGGTCCTGGAATACTCGGAGCAATTAGAAATTAAAAAAAAACAACCCTGAAGCCTCTTTACTAATTGCCCTGGGGGGGAGCAGGGATGCAAAATTAGGCAGCAGCCTGGGTTCAACCCCTGGGGGGACCGGGGGGCCCCGAAGGGCTCTCAGGGCCGGTGTCGAGGGCTGGGAAGGTGCCGACCCACCCGGGGAGCCCGGGCACGCTGGGGCCTCGCCGTGCCCAGGCTGGGGAGCAGAGCCGGGACCCTCGCTCCTCCCGCTGCACCCCCTCCGTAGCGCTCAGGCCATGGGGGACCCCACGGCGGGGGCCCCACGGGGGGGGGGCCCCCCGCGCCTCCCCCGCCGGGGGCCCGTC